CGCTGGGTTGGACTGGAGCAGGAGAACAGAGTTCGAGGCCAGGGGGACCTTTAGCCTGGGGGGCGGGGGGGGGAGGCCAAACCTGCTTAACGTAACAGCCACACAGAATAAACGTCCGATGTTTGAGAGCCACAAGACAGGAACACACAAATGTTTTTATTGCAAAATACGCACATTTGCTTTTAATGAACATTAAATTAGACTGTGTGAAAGAGCTGCGTGCGGCTCCCGAGCTGCAGTTTGGCCGCCCCTGCGGTAGATGAACCCCGTTTCATTCTGGGTATGAGCTTCCGTGTGCATGGAAGTGTTCAGCCACACGAACTTATCCCTTGAATAAAACTCTGTTGGTCTTAAAGGTGCCACTGGAATTGGACGTTGCCCTTTTTGCATTTGTTTGTCTTTAACTGCTCAGAGAGGGATTCTTTCTGGCCACCGTAAGACTCTGTATTTGAGTCACCTTTCTTTGGAACCTCACGGGTGACTGACAAGGTCTGGGTCCAGCTTACCTAAGGGACCGCCTTTCCTCATATGTTCCCCCGCGAGCACTTCAGTCCGGGACCCAACATCTCCTGGCAGTGCCAGGTCCCAAAGAGGCCAGGCTGGCCGCTACCAGGGCCAGGGCTTTCTCGGTGGCGGCTCCTATCTGGTGGAACGAGCTCCCGGAGGAGATCCGGGCCCTGCGGGACCTTGTGCAGTTCCGCAGGGCCTGTAAGACGGAGCTCTTCCACCAGGCGTATGAGTAGGAGCCGCCACTACCATCATCATTATTCCATCTTCAGCTGGCCCTGGATGAGGGAACATCAATGCTTCCCTGGAGCAGACGATGCTGAGCAGTTCAAATATGCCATCTCTGAAATTTCATGTAGAACACCTAGAGCACTTTAGTCAGTAACTCGTTATGAATGTTTTGTACTGTTGGATTTTAAATGGTTTTAATTATGTTTTATATTGGCGTTTGCCCCTATGTAAGCCGCCCTGAGCCCGCATTGCGAGGAGGGCGGGGTATAAATTGAATAAATAAATAATAAATAAGCCGGAGACTCAGAAGTGTAGGGAGAGGAGGTTGAGTCTCCGTAGGCTTCTTGCTGCGTCACTCTCGCCGCTTCCTCTGCAGGGCCCCAAGCAGTATCCCTACAGCAATTTGTACCTGGAAACCAGCGGAGATCCCAACCAAGAGGTGCCGGAGGTCAAGCACTATGAGATCTGAGGGCGGCTGTCTCCTGGACTTTCCTTCATCCTGCCTGTGGGACTGACTGTTGCATTGTTGTATTTGCTGTCTGAAAAAGCCGGACAGGCGAAAAACAAGTGACGGAAGGTTCTTGTGTGGTGTCTTTATTGCACCGTGTGGGTTCCCCAATATGGTGCCCATAGGCAGGCACCATGGTAAACATAAGTAGTTCATGAGAGAAGCCCATGTTGGATCAGGCCAATGGCCCATCCAGTCCAGCACTCTGTGTCACACAGTGGCCAAAAGTACCAGGGGCCCTCAGGAGGTCCAGCAGTGGGGCCAGGTCACTAGAAGCCCTCCCACTGTCCCCTCCCCCCCAAGCACCAAGAAGACAGAGCATCCCCTTGCCCCCTGCCGTGTGCTTCGGAGAAGTAGGCAGGGCTGTTGTGGAGGCAGAACCAGTGACTGGCTGCCTTCTGAGAGCCAGTTGGCTCTAGTGGTTAAGACTCTAATCTGGGAGAACCGGGTTTGATTCCCACTCCTCCACAAGCAGTTGCTGGTGTGACCGTGGGTCAATCACACATTCTCTCAAGGGCAGTCCTCAAAAGAGCTCTCTCAGCCGCACCTGCATCACAGGGTGCCTGCTGTGGGGAGGGGAAGGGAAAGGAGATTTTAAGCCGCTCTGAGACTCCCAAGTGAAGGGCGGGGTATAAATCCAATCTCTCCTTACAAATAAGAGGCTTTTTGCTTGGATCCTGCCCACTATGCACTGGAGAGGGGTCCAGGATCCTGTAAACTAAACTGGGCAAGGCAGCTGCAAGGTGGTGGGTGCTAGCAAGCAGTGGAGCACCCCTCCTTGGCTAGCTTCTCTGCGTGTACTTGATTCTCTGTTTTCCCCAAGGGCTGTATTTGTGCTGGCTATCCCCCCCGCCCGGTGGTCCCCTGCGTGTGGTCTCATTCCCAGGTCTCCTCGGCTCTGTTTCCCGGGGCAGCCGTTTTGTGGGGTGGCACCTGCAACCCTGCCCCCAAATCCCAAATGAGCTTGCAGGCCTGAAAAGGTTGGGGACCCCTGGCGTAGCAGCATCCAGGAAAGACAGCTGTCAAGCGAGCTGCGTGGAGCTGCGAGGGCTCGTTGGCGTTCTGAACACCAGAGGGAAGAACCTTCCCTGATGGGACCGGAGGTCCGTGTATTAAGTGTTTTAGGCGTAGGATGACTCAGTGGGAGGGAAAGGAAAAGAAGAGCTGGTTTTTATGCCCCACTTTTCACTATCCAAAGGAGTCTCGAACTGATTTACAATTGCCTTCCCTTCCTTTCCCCTCAACAGACACCCTGTGAAGTAGGTGGGGCTGAGAGCTCTGAGAGAACTGTGACTGGCCCAAGGTCATCCAGCTGCCTTCATGTGGAGGAATGGGGAATTAAACCCAGTTCTCCAGATTAGAATCCTCCACTCTTAACCACTACATCAAGGAAGGCAGGACTCCAGAGGCAAGGGTGTGTCACGCATTCGGCTGGCCTGTGATTGGGCCAGCTAGTTCTGGAGTATGAGAAGTCCGACGGCAGCTGTGAAGCTCTTTGGGCAAGCCCTGTTCAGTGATAGGTGAGTTATTTGTAATATTTATGTTCTGTAGGTGGGTGGAGCTCGGAACACTGTTTAGCCGGCCAGGGCACACGCGGAAGGACAGGAACTTGTCCAACGCCGTGCTGCAAACTTCACAGCCAAGCAGGAATTGGGACTTTGGCTTCTCTGTTCCAAGCCCACGATTGTGTGAATCTCAACACGTTCTTGGAAAATTTATGACTACTTTAGAGAAAAATTACAGTTTAGCAACTAAAAGGTCATTGGAAGGGGGAGATTCCACAGTTGTTGTAGTAGTACAAAAATATATTTACACAGCCCCCCCCCCCCCCCCCCCAATAGCTAGCAATATTTGTTGGCATAGAGCTGAGGTACACCACAACTGTGCTACAGCTTATGTCCCTTAAAGGGAGGGGGCTGTGGTTCAGTGGCAGAACATCTGCTGGGCATGCAGAAAGTTCCAGGTTCAATCCCTGGTGTCTCATCTCGTCTCTCTAGATTATAATTCTCTGTTGGTGGTGGCACACTCGAGAACATTCTACACGCTCCCAAATTGGTTGGGCCCCTGGCCTGTTGCTCAGAGGCGTCCCCAATCCCATTGGCTGCATGGCCTGCGTCCCGCCCACTCAAGCGGCCAGCGAAAATGTGCCTCACACTGTGTGGGTGGGGAGGCCTCACAAGAGGGACACTCCAGCCCTGCTGCTGTGCCCGGTCCCCTCAGAACACAGACTATGGCTGGACCCACTTCAGACTCCCACCCCCCCCAGGCTCCAGGTTGCTGCCACCGCCGACAGACCTACCCCACACAACCACTTTGCCTCGACCTGCTTCAGATCCCACCCCCAATGCTCTAGGTGGCCACCGCCCCTGAGAGGCCTATCACTGACAACCACCTGGGGGGTGTGGAGCCACGGCGCTCGCCTGAAGGAGGAGGAGAGTGAGCATGGGGGCGGCCTTGCTACTGCCGGGGACCCAGGGACTCCTGCTGCCGCTGCCAGCACTCGGCCGTTGAAGGCTCCCCCCCTCTTTTTCTCCCTCACGCCAAGAGGGACGCCCGTATCCTATGCAAAGGGAGGGAGGCTGGGCCGAGCAGGAGCCATCTCTGGGGGAGGCAGTGGGGAAGCCTGAGGAGGAGGAGGACGACAAGGAGGGAAGCGCCGAGGGGGCTGTAGCCCCGTCCCCTCCTGCTCCAGTGTAGGCTGGTGTCTGCCGGCGGAATAAGGCCAGAGGCTGAAGAGAGCGGAGGCCGCAAAGCGGACTTGTTAGGTACAACAGCCACCGCAGGGGTCGATGTCGTTAAACCAGTAATGACAACCAAAGTCGATTTCGAGGAAGCCTTACCCTCAGGCCGTGTAGATTTTAACTTTGGTGCCTTCAAAGAGGATTCTGATTTTTTAGAAACAGTCGAAGCCATGGCAGGGCGCAAGGCTGCCTCTAAAAGCACAGCCCTAAGGCGAGTCTCCCTATTACGTCGAGCTTGTCTAGTAAAACTAGCACAATGAATACAGGTATCGACTCTGTGGGATTCCCCGAGACAAAACAGGCACAAATCGTGACCATCGTTTGAGGGAAGTTTTGCTGGGCAATGACGGCACAGTTTAAAAAACTTTGTTTTGCCCATACGTTCTCTACCCCACTCACTATAAATAAAGGGGGGGTGAGAGGAGAAAAGTATCAATTTATTTATTTTTTAATATAAGAACAAGAAAAGTTGAAGAGTGAAAACGGCAGGGAACGAAAGAGAGGAATGTATACTTAGCCGAGGCAAGTACGGAGCCACAAAAACGAGGTGTGAACACAGGCGGTCAAAGAAGAACTGAGTGGGAGGCGGCTCTCTCCCCTGCTCCAGGCATGGGTAGTGCGTGCCTGCTCCCCAGGGTGGGAAGAGAGCCCACCAAAAGCTTTCTGAGGCAAAGCTCTAGAAGTGTCTCCGGTCAAGGTCGTGCACAGGTGCCCAACCCATGTGTGGGACTGCACAGAGACCACGACGAAGATCTCAGGAATCTACAGCAAAGTCTTCGGCGATTTGAAGCTGCAGGGAGGAAAACAACACCTGCGTTTATTCCTATGTTGACTTGCTTTGAACAGGAAATGCTTATCTGTATTCTAGTAGCCAAGTCAGCCAGATCTGAGGATACTTAAAGGCAGAGACTGGACCCATGAACAGGCAAGACGGATCTTCCTACAAACCTGAACAATGTCTCAGGTTTCAAGAAAAAGCCAAAATCATAAAATTAAAAAATATGGTGGGGTTTTTTTTTTTTAAAAAGCCTCTGTCATAGAGGACAGTCCTGATGTTGTGCTTGATAGGAGAACTGTATCATCAGCAAAAAGTAGGATAGAAACTTTAACGTTAGCAGTGGATGGAGAATAACAGTCCTGGGTAGAGACAGCAGAAAACATGTTGTTGATATATAAGTTAAACAATACAGTGGGCAGCACTCCCTACTGTCGGGAAATCAAATTGGAAAGTTGCCCATCTAACCCATGGCGGACTTGTGCAGTGGGATTAGACTACAGAATCTGAATGAACGCCAACAGTCTCCTTGTCAACAGATAATTTTAACTTGTGCCACAATCGGGCACAGGGTACAGTATCAATAGCCGCCTTCAAATTCAGAACTGTAATAGCAGAAGATGATCTTCTGCAAAAGCCTGTCCCCCCCCCCCAATGTTATTAGTTTCCAACCAGTCCATAAACCCAGTTATACAGAGACAGATCATAAAATTTCCCGGCCACTTCCTAGGGTACTTTGATGTGCCAGACACCTTCTCTCTCTTGAGAGCTTTTAGTGTCCTTGAGTCTCATCTTTCCAAGCTTGCCTTTGTTTTACATGTTGGGGGGGATGTCACTGAAAAGGGGGATGGCTGGCAGTTACATTTGGAGGGTGAAATCCCAGGGGGTGAATGGTTCTGAACCTTTTGAACCCTGTATATCTATTGCCTTTGGCACCTTTAACCTAACACAGCCAGAGTCCAGTCTGGATCCTATCAATGTCTCAATAAACTTATCATTCTTCAGAGTGAATGTTGTCGGGAACTGATTTATCCAGGAGTCTGACACAAGTGAGGCAAAATTATTCCAAGACAGATCCCTACTCATGTACCCAGTACATTTAAAAACATTGCAGGTTTATTTCCAGTCAATGCTTTCCACGATTAAAATACCGAGAGAAAGAGATTCACATTGCTGACAAAGGCATGAACAAGAAACAAGTAGCGGCAGAGGAATGGAATCAGGAGTACAGTTGCTTGATCTTCTGCACCGATTTCTTCCACCAGTCCGCCCAGTGCTGGGCCTTATTCAGATGGGCTGCGTTTTCCTCCTTGGTTCTGGCAAACTCTGCTTCAAGCACTTGTTTGAATGTCTGTGCGAAAAAACACAACACCACAAATCAGGGTTTGGCACCTCCAGCTCTTTTCATGTGGACAGAAGTATGAGGCGTTGGGTGGAGGCAGGCAGGTTAGCATCTACGGGTAATAATACAAGCCCCCCCCCCTCACCTGCCACACTGTTCTTTGCTCACAGCCGGCTCTAGAGACTCACGCAGGGCAGGGTAGGGCAGGGGTTGGGCCCCCCCCCTGAGGCCAATGAAGAACCCACAGAGGCCTGAGGAAGTGTGCCAAACAAAAAGGCACCCTCTAGCTGTCGTTTTCTCTTGAATTTAAACCATCTTGAGGTCTTGATGTTTAGGATGACCCAAAGGGTGGCAGAGCCAAGTCAAGACAGAGCTCTTGGGTTCTTTCCACGGCTCTGAAGGGATCCGCTCCTCCACCACTCATGATGAGGAAGTTTCTTGTTTAGGGGCTCCAAAAAAATCTAAAGCTGGACCTGCAAAGGAGTCAGGCAGAGACCCCTCCATTTCTGGGGTGGGGGGGGCAGGTATGAACTTGGTCCAGGCCCACATTTAGTAATCCATATTAAGTTATTTCAATATGAAACTATTTATATTTCCAAAACCCATATGCAATCAGCAATTAACCTGCGGTTTTAAAAATATCTCCCCCCCCCCCCCCCCCCACTCATAATAGTCTGAATCTCAGTCAAAGAAAGAGGACCCTGGAAGAAGAGAGGAAAGATATGACGGACCCCTTCGACTTAGACCATGAGAGTAGATACATGTGGGAACCAACGTTCCCTCTAAGCTGTAGAGTTCTGTAAGCAAAAATTCTACTTTGTGAGCTGCTGGCATTAAGGTTGTGAGCGAGCAACTTGGTTGCTGCATAAATTAGTTTGCCCTGGAGCCATCCTTCTTGAGCTAGGGCAAAGACGTGTGAGCCGGAGGCTAAAAACTGTGAGCTAGCTCACACTAACTCACACTGGTGGGAACCTGTAAGGACTTGTGGAAGGAATCTCCCTTCCCCCTCCCCCCACTATCTCCTCCCTCCCAAAAGCCCCCAGAGCCTCTCCCTTCCCCCCTCTCTCCTAGGGTTGCCAGCCCCCAGGTGAGGGCTGGAGATCCCCTGTAATCACAACAGACCTCCCAGCTACAGAGAGCAGTTCCCCTTTGGGTCCCCAGATCGAGGCTGGGAAATCCTGGGAGATTCGGGAGGACGGGGACCTCAGTGGGGCACAAGGCCACGGAGCCCCACCCTCCAAAGCAGGGGGAGCCCCACCCTCCAGCCAGGGGAACTGGTCTTCGGCGTCTGGAGAACAGCTGTACCTCCCGGTGATCTCCAACCCCCCCGCCTGGAGGCTGGCAACCCCTAGTGGCTGAAATGGATGCTCTGGGGGGGGGGTTGAGTCTGTGGTACTGTGCCCCTCTGAGGTCGCTCCCCTCCCCAAACAGCTCTTTCAGGCTCCCCCCCCCCCAATTTCTAGGAACTTCCTAACCTCTTTCGCTCCCCTCGGCAATCCCCATATCCAGGGGTCATTGCGTAGACAAAGAGGTGCAGGAGCAAGCTTTACAAAAACGAGCAGAGCCCGCCCTTGGCCTCCTAGGCAGTTGTCGTGTTGCTACAAAGACAAACAGGACTGACAGAACTTGGGGACCCGGCAGCCTGAGCATCTACCTGGCAGCTTGGGGAGGGGCATTGCCCCTGCTGGGAAATCGGGGGGGGGGGGGCTTGAACCCCCCCAGTAGTTTATTCCCCAGAAAGTAGCCTCCCCCCCTTGCAAAGCTACTGCAGAGAAACCTGTGTGGATAAATCCATGCAATTTGTTGCTGTATCTAGATCTCCAGAGACTGGGCCTTTCTGGCAAAGCCCACAAGCTTCAGCTTTTACCCTCGCTGTGAATTTCTTAGAGGGATTCTCAGCTCTGTGCAACTCTGAAAGATTCCAGGAGCCTTCTTTAGTGCCAGACCCAGCAGCCCTGCCTAGATCAGGCTGTCTGGATGATTTCTTTTTTGGGGGGAAAAGAGAATGCATTGCTTCATTATGGACGGAGTGCAGATACATCGGCTCCTGCCCCTCTCTCCCACAAGGACGGCCTGAGAGGCGTCTGTTCCTACAATTAATACTGACTGCAGTTAACTTGGGACCACACAGAGAAACGCGGGAAGCTTCTGCTGCTGCGACTCAGGAACCATCACAAGAAAATATGAATTTGCTGTGGCGTGACCACCCTCAGTCCCGGGCTGACTGTGACGCTCTGCCACCTTGCAGCCTTTTCCCACACGCACAGATCTACGAGATCTGGACTCCCAACAGCGCCCAGTGCCCTACCATGTAAACAGCATCCCTCTCTTCCACGGCAGCCACGTGACCCAGGGTTGTCTTTGCTGTTGTTACAGCAGCAGTTTCCTGGCACAGGATTTGATCTGGGAAGCCCACAAGTGTAGTTCTTGGGATTCCAGGCCACGTCCTTAAAAGTGACACAGAAATAAACAGTGCAAAAACCTGTTTATAGATACCTTGTTATAATCAACCATTGTACTGGAGGACTGGAGAAAGAGTGGGTCCTTTATAGCGAGCTATCATAGGCGCTGGTCTATTTGTGGTTCCGCGCTAAGGCCCCAGCACATACCCATGGTGAAGCTCAAAAAGGATAGTGCAGAGGTGGGGGGGAAGGGGAACCCTGGTGGTGCACCTCTCCTGTGAGGACAGTCTGGTACTTCAGGTAGGAAATAGATAACTAAAGGGGGGCACAACAGAGGTTTATAGAATTATGCACAGGGCAGAGCAAATGGATGGAGGGCTTTTTATCCCATTCCCATAATACTAGAACTTGGGTATCTGATGACCTTGACGGGTACTAGATTCAGAATGGAAAAAAGGAAATACTCTGTCACTCAATGAGCAATTAAGTTGAGGGACTGACTGCCATGGGCAGAGATGACTTTAAGAGGGAATCAGACAGATAACACAGAAGATCGGTCCATCAGTAGCTACTGGCCACGGTGACTAAAGGGAACCTCCATGTACCAAGGCAGCAAACCTTGAATACCAGCATTAGGGGGCAACATCAGGGGAAAGCTCTGGCCCCTGCACCTGGGCTGTTGGCCCTTCAGGGCAGCTGGCTGGCCGCTGTGTGAAGCAGGATGCTGGACTAGATGGTCCTCTGGTCGAACCCAGCAGGGCAGCTCTTCTGCAGTCCCTGGATGAACAGCCTGCAGAACCTCATCTCGTGGCTTACGGCCCTTACCTGCTCCCCCGTTCAGCCACCAGCTTACACGCTTCCGCGGCTAAGGAAAGGCCAGCTTTCTTACGGCGGATCAGGGTGCTTGTCTTCTCCTTCGGGGTCTCTGTTTCTGGGACAGGGCGAGATCAGACTCCGCATCAGTGTGACAGGCTCAGAGTTACTTCATGGCTATTTTCTCAAAGTAGTAGCAGTAGTCAAATTTATGGCATAGGGCCAAAGGCTAAACTAAAAAGGAATGCATAGGATGCTAATATTATCGAAAATGATAAAGAGCTGATCGGGGGTCATTTCCTGCGGGAGCGCACAGGAGCAGAGCTCCGGCAGTAAGGAGCCCAGGGGGCGGGCACATGCAAAAAGCCCCGCTCCCAGCAGCCCTCAGTTGGGCCACGAGGCGCAAGAAGCAGCCAGGTAAGTTGCAGAGCCTCCCCCCTCCCCGGCCCGCCTTCAGGTACAAGCTCTCCCTCCTCTGCGAGGGCAGATCTGCACGTCCCCCCCCCAATAGCTAGCAATCCAAAACAGTCCAGTGGAGCCTGAGTGGTGGGTGTTGCCTTCTGACACACTTCCGGTGATGTCAGGGGGTGTGGCATATGCAAATAAGTTATGCTAATCACTTATGCTAATGAGCTCCTGCACCTCTTTTTCTACGAAATTACCCCTCGAGCTGATTATAAAAGGTTAAAATTCCCAAGCCCCATCAGCGTGCCAAACTGAACATGAAGCAAAGCTTTGGCATGGATTTTCTTGGCGGACCGTCCACTCTATGCCTCATGGGCCTTCCAGTCACAGGCTCTTGGGGGGGGGGGGGGGCCCCATCTGCACGTCATCTATGGTGAGGCTGTCGTCCAACTCCACAAGGATCTTTTCTGTGCAGGCGGCCAATGTGGAGACAAAGCTCTGGGCACACTCGACGGCGCAGGCCTGGGGGGGGAAGGATTTACACTGATGCTGTTTCTGCACACGAAGGCTTCCCCCTCCACAGGTGCAAAGAGTATTTGGCATCTGGGGAAGGGAGGGCTGGCTCTCAAAATCTCCCCCCCCCTTCTTGGAGACCCCCGGGCCCTTGTGCCAAGGATCACTGCCTGGACAACCTGCCCCTCTTGGTCACAGGTTGCCAATGGGTCTGCACTCTTTGTTCTACCTTATTTATCTACTAGGAGTAAGGCCCATTGTGGGAAGAAATACAACGAGCTCTAGAGGGAAGCTCCGGGTGAGTGTCCCGACTGTGGCTGGTGAGGCGGCAGAGGGAAGGGGAAAATAGAGGGAGGCAAGCCATGTTTATTACCTTCTGCTTAGCAGGGCTGTCTCAAGTCATTTTGCTGCCCCAAACAGGTCATATGGGAGGACAGCCTCATGGGAATAGGTATGGTTCCCTCCACCCCTGACTTGTGTTGATTTGGGGTTATGCAGTGGCAGGAAAGGTAGAAAAGCACCTCCTCCTATGCCATGTCTTCTGGGTTCCAAGGGTCTGGAAAGTGGTTCCATAGCCAGTTACAGGGTTACCAACTCTGGGCTGGGAAATACCTGTAGATTTGAGGGGTAGAGCCTGGGGAGGGCAGGGTTTGGGGTGCGGAGGGACCTCAGCAGGGTATAATGCCATAGAGTCCATTGCCCAAAGCAGCCATTTTCTCCAGGAGAACTCATCTTGGAGATATCCAGGTGCTGCCCGGAGGCTGGTAATACGAAGGGGAGGGCCAGACCTGTAGATCTGAGGGGTAGAGCCTGGGGAGGGCAGGGTTTGGGATGCAGAGGGACTTCAGCAGAGTATAGTGCCATAGAGTCCACTGCCCAAAGCAGCCATTGTAATAGCTGGGAAATTTTCTGCAGGGGAAATGATGCGCTGTGGCTGGGGAACACAGTGTTTTCTGGGAGATCTCCAGGCCCCATAGGAAGATTGGCAACTCCAGTGACCGTTTAAGGGGAAATTGGGATATGTATTTTACCTCAGGACACATTCAATGACTCGCAACAACAAACTGTTTAGAATGTTAGAGGCAAAGGCCAATCAGGCCGCATATGCAAATGACCTCTGTGTTCTGACTGGCTATTGGGGGGAGAGGAACAACAAACTGTTTAGAATGTTGGAGGCAGGACTCAGGCAATGCAGCCAGTGGATAGGGAGACCCTCTGAATGACAGATCATTCAGCCAACTGATTTCGGAGCGTGTTGGAATGTTCAGGGGAGTCCATGACCAAAACAGAATCTCTCCTTATATATAATTGAGTAGTGGGTGCCAAAGTTCTAAAATGCACTCCTTTAGTGTATGGACGCTTGAACTGTCAGTCAGAAGACGCTGGCTGGGTTGACTGGCTGCTTTGTGCAGTCCCGCCCAGCGTTTCAAGGTCTTTTGCATATGGAAGCTGATTGGACTTCACTGCATTCCACACCTCAAACTCACCCCCCTCCCCGCAAGGCAGTTGGAATGTCAGTTGCATATGGAACCTTCAAGGTCTTTTGCATATGGAAGCTGATTGGACTTCACTGCATTCCACACCTCAAACTCACCCCCCTCCCCGCAAGGCAGTTGGAATGTCAGTTGCATATGGAACCTTCAAGGTCTTTTGCATATGGAAGCTGATTGGACTTCACTGCATTCCACACCTCAAACTCACCCCCCTCCCCGCAAGGCAGTTGGAATGTCAGTTGCATATGGAACCTTCAAGGTCTTTTGCATATGGAAGCTGATTGGACTTCACTGCATTCCACACCTCAAACTCACCCCCCTCCCCGCAAGGCAGTTGGAATGTCAGTTGCATATGGAACCTTCAAGGTCTTTTGCATATGGAAGCTGATTGGACTTCACTGCATTCCACACCTCAAACTCACCCCCCTCCCCGCAAGGCAGTTGGAATGTCAGTTGCATATGGAACCTTCAAGGTCTTTTGCATATGGAAGCTGATTGGACTTCACTGCATTCCACACCTCAAACTCACCCCCCTCCCCGCAAGGCAGTTGGAATGTCAGTTGCATATGGAACCTTCAAGGTCTTTTGCATATGGAAGCTGATTGGACTTCACTGCATTCCACACCTCAAACTCACCCCCCTCCCCGCAAGGCAGTTGGAATGTCAGTTGCATATGGAACCTTCAAGGTCTTTTGCATATGGAAGCTGATTGGACTTCACTGCATTCCACACCTCAAACTCACCCCCCTCCCCGCAAGGCAGTTGGAATGTCAGTTGCATATGGAACCTTCAAGGTCTTTTGCATATGGAAGCTGATTGGACTTCACTGCATTCCACACCTCAAAATTTGCAGAGGGGGGGGACCTCAGACAGGTAGAATGCTATAGACTACACCCTCCAAACCAGCCACTTTGTCCTGGGTAACAATTGCTGCCAATCTCCAGGTGAGGGCTACAGATCACTCACAATTACAACTGCTCTTCAGGTAGCAGAGATCAGTTCCTCTGGAGAAAACAGTGGACTCTGTCATTATACCCTGCTGAGGTCACCACAGCAAATTGACACTGTTTGCCCAAAGCCAGAGCACTCCCCCAGAGCCTCTTTCTAGATCTCGTTGTATTGCTTTCACAACAGGCTTTACTGCTAGTTATATATAAGGAGAGATAATTTGGATTTATATACCACCCTTCTCTTAATTCACAGAGCTCAGGGCGGTCATCAACAGAACTAGATGATTTAAATCCAGAGGTTAAAATAGTTAAAATAACATCAGATGGCGCCTTGTAGGCAAGCCCAGCCCGGCCCAGCTTCAGAGAAAACCACCTGTTCATAAGTATTTTTAAACTAAAGAACATGGAACAAAATTGCTGCCCAATCTTATTTATATTGACACAGGAGTGACTAAAGAGTGACAAGGGAAGAAATGGCGATTGCAATTTTATGTGCATTTCCTTGAGAGAAAATCCTTGAGAGAACTGAAGAGACATGCTCCTCACCAAAAGGGGCTGGCGTTTGCCTTCAGAGCCCCTTTGAAGGGCTGAGGGCTCAGAATATGGAACCCACGTGCTGCCCCCTGGGCTGAGGCCATCAGTGAGAAGTCTGCTTGTGGGACATAAGAACATAAGCACATAAGAGAAGCCAATGTTGGATCAGGCCAAAGGCCCATCTAGTCCAACACTCTGTGTCACACAGTGGCCAAAAATACCAGGTGCCATCAGGAGGTCCAGCAGTGGGGCCGGGACACTAGAAGCCCTCCCACTGTTGCCCACCCCCAACCAAGATGACAGAGCATCCCTTGCCCCAGACTGAGAGTTCCTCTCTATACCTTGTGGCTGATAGCTACTGATGGACTTCTGCTCCATATGCTTATCTAATTCCCTTTTGAAGCTGTCCATGCTTGTAGCTGCCACCACCTCCTGTGGCAGTGAATTCCATGTGTGAATCACTCTTTGGGTGAAGAAGGACTTCCTTTTATCCCTTCTAACCCGACCGCTCAGCAATTTCATGGAGTGCCCACGAGTTCTTGTATTGTGAGAAAGGGAGAAAAGGACTTCTTTCTCTACCTGCTCTATCCCACGCATAATCTTATAAACCTCAATCATGTCGCCCCTCAGCCGTCATTTCTCCAAGCTTAAGAGCCCCAAGCGCTTTAACTTTTCTTCATAGGGAAAGTATTTCAACCCTTTTATCATTCTAGTTGCCCTTTTCTGCACTTTTCCCCATGCTATAATATCCTTTTTGAGGTGTGGTGACCAGAACTGTACACAGTACTCCAAATGAGGTCGCACCATTGATTTATACAAGGGCATTATGATACTGGCTTTATTTGTTTTCAATTCCCTTCCTAATAATCCCCAGCATAGCGTTGGCCTTCTTTATTGCAGTCGCACAATGTCTCGACATTTTCATTGAGTTATCTGCTACGACTCCAAGATCTCTCTCTTGGTCAGTCTCTGCCAGTTTGGACCCCATCAATGTGTATTTGTATTTAGGATTTTTGGCTCCAATGTGCATCACTTTGCACTTGGCCACACTGAACCCCATTTGCCACGCTGATGCCCACTCGCCCATCCTCGACAGATCCAAGAAAGATGGAAGGAGCAGCCCCTTCCCCTCCCTTTCTTTTCAGGAGCTTTTTCAGAACATCTGAAGATCTCAGCTGCACGCTCGTCTGAACCACAGTGTGATTATTTTTTGCCTGCTGTTTCATCTGTTGTAATTCAGATGGTTTAATCCTGACTGTTATTCATGCAATTTGCAGGTGGCCTTGAGAACAACTCTGGTACACAAACATAGTAAAAAAAAAAAAACCTACCGGGAAAACTAGATGGCTCGTTTGCATGAAAAAGCCCTCGTAATCAGCCACACAAATACTGGGAGAGCAGCTCAGAGCTCCTCGAAGCCTCCCTTCCAAAAGCCCCTTGGCAGGCGAAGCTTCGTCTCTGCCCCCAAATGACCCACCTTGGAGTGGTGAAACTCAGGGGGGAAAGAGGCCTGGCTCCCCAAGCTACCTCCAGTTTCTGGGTGCAGAGACGGATCCCATCCACTTGCTCCTTCTGTCTTCCTTCCTCCTCCAGGCACAGAGCTTCCAGCTGGGATACGTTCTCCGGGTGCCCCAGAGTCGGGCGCAGCTGATTCTTGTTTTTGTCCTTGAAATGAACAGCCAAGCTGTGAGGGGCTCTGTTTGTCATCACCAGGCCACTGAGGAGATGTCAGAGGCTGGTGGCAGCGTTGCTAGTTTTGTCTCCGACCCAGGGTTGCTAGCCCCCAGGTGGGGGAGCGGGGAATCCTCCGGCTTCACTGCCAGCCAGCCCCCAACAGCCACAACCCAGCGAGACACCCCCAATGTGATGATGTGGAAGTGATGGCATCACACCTGGGACGTCACCTGGGGAAGCTCTGGTATTTGGGGCAAAACCCTCTGGTAGCCATAGAGCTTTGCCCTAAAATGCCAGAGCATCGCCACGTGCCGTTCCTGGCGCGATGACATCGCCCCGCCCCCACTCCCCAGAGACCCCCCCCCCATTACTTGTGTGGACAAACCCCCCCCCCCCAAGGCTGCAAAGAGGAGGGAGAGAGGAAAGGGTTGTTCCATCCCCTCAGGTGGTGAGTGGGTTCCTCCTGACTGAATCAGGACACCTGGGCCAGGCCTGGATCTTTGCCTGGGCCGGATTCTAGAGCTCTCCCTCTGTCGGGATGCCTTTCCTCTCGACTCTTGCCCGCCTGCTGCATCCTCACCTTCCCACCCTAGCCTTCCTTCCACAGACGTCTCTCACTCACCTCCCTGTCTGCAACAGATTCTGTTCCAGGGACCCTCACCTGCTGCTGCCCTCTGCCCTGACCCCAGACTGAACCCCACCAGGATGCTCTGGTCTTCAGCAGCTCGGTTGCCTGTGGCCCAGCCCACACCAAGAGGGCTTTCATGGGGGGAGGGTCCTGCTGCATGTCGCAGGGGCAGCCCAAGGAGGCGGGTGGGGGTGGGGGGTAGGCAGGAGGAAAGGGTGGACCGGAAGACTCCAGGAGGCTCAGGCACGCTACCTTCTGAAGGTCCCCCTTTTGCAGTTGTTCCTGTAAATCTCGCCGGATCTGCTCCGTGGACTCGAGGAGGAGTTGTTCATGATCTTTCAGAACCTTGTCAGTTACCAGCTGGACAATGTCAGGGAGCAGCTCCTCAAACCTCTTCAGCTGATCCCGGAATCTGTTAGGTTTCAGGAACAAAAAGCGAGGCCCCGTTATCTAGGCATTCAGAGAACCTGCCACTGCATCTGTGGCTGCGCAGAAAAAAGAATGGCCCGTAAGGACAATGCCAAAGGATGGAGAGGGCCAAGCAGGAGTTCCAGTGGCCAAGCGAGGCCCATTGCCGGGTTGAGGGTTTCACTCTTTTCCAGGCAAAGTGAATTATGCAAAGCCAAATGAATTCAAATGCACTTATGTTTGTATAATTTCACAGACTGCAGATTATGGGTGTGTGTGGAATTCTTATTTTAAGAGCACAGTACACACTGCGCACACAAAAGATTAGTCAGCGATATGTTGAAATTGACAAAGATCAATATGTCTTATATAGTAAGATACAAGGCGGAAAGTAATTCAAGAAATCCTGGGGAAAAATCTAGCATTAAATAAAACCTGAAATATATCTGTTGAATATTATTCCAAAGGGATATAATTTACAAGATACTTATTTATTGTCTTCTATAATAGCCACTGCTCGTTTGTTACTGGCTAAAAATTGGAAATCTGATATAATACCTTCCAGAGAAGACCTAACATTCAAAATATTAGAGTTAGCACAAATGGATGATTTGAGTCTGATGCTTCAAAACAAAAATGAAAAGGTACATACTAAGAGGTGGTTAAAGGTGTATAAATGGATAGAAGACTTGACGAATGTGTAAGACTCTATCGTATGTGTAAATGTATAGTTGGAATGTAATATTTTTATAAAACGCACAATAAAAGGTAAAAAAAGACAAAGATCAATATATATAATCAAGCACATAATGTGTTTCGACACACACCAAAAAGCCAATTTTTACTAGACAACGAACAAGGTCTCTAGACAGCTGTGACAGCTAAATGTGAACCTCCATGTTTAGAAGCAGTATGCCTCTGAATACCACACATTTGGGACAAACAACGGATACTACCTTCATACCATGCTGATAGCTTCTCAGGGACATCTGTCTGGGCACTGCTGGAATCAGAGTTCCAGTCTTGCTGGACTTGCCACCAGAATTCAGCAGTGTCCATTCTTATTTCTCAGATTAGCTAGTTACAGGATATTCTAGGATTTAAATTAATTAGCCATGACCAACTTGTTCCACTGGGCTACCGTAAGTTATGCAAAGGTACTTCACAAACATAATGTTTTTGCCAGGCTTTTTTTGGGGGGTACTATCACATTACTGTGTACCTTTAAAAAAGCAGGGGGAAAAAAATACAGCCCAGGGTTTACCAGAGATGCAGGCAACATGGTAACTGCTTGTCTGTTCCAAATACAGCAGGAGTTTCTGTCCCATCACATCAACACACTGGTCATAGGTTTCCTGCAGGTATTCTGGCCTTGTGATTTGATGCTTGTCCTTTCTGTAGAAGTCCTTTGGAAGTTGGAGGGGGGGGAAAGAGAAGATAAAAACATCTGGATTAAGATTTCTGAGCACCAAAGTGGGGAAGGAGGGAGCCTTATTCTGAATAACGGCTCAGTACGGAGGCATGCTGGGATCAAATCAAGGTCTGTTCTAACCCAGCGTCCTGTTTCCCTTAGAGGCCTAAATCCCTGGGAAGCTTGCAGATGGGACCTCACCGAGAACCCCCCCCCCCTGGCATTCCTAGCACTCAGTACCCAGAAGTATATACTGCCTCTGCACATGGAAGGTCGCATCAGGACTACTGGGATGAAGCCAGGAGGACACGAGGCAAGTCTTATTACACATGCTACAGAGGTGAAGGGGGGGGGGGGAGTCTCCAAATGGGTAGTTCTCCCTTAACACCAGCGTATCACTATAATAATAAAATAAACAATTCTTCATTAGTAGATATTTTAATTTTTTTTAAAGTGCATTTACCTCAGCAACATTCATCAGAATATCAAAGTTGTCCCAGACAGTATTGAAAATAATCCCTTTAAAGTGGTCCCAACTGTAGGGGGGAAAAACATAAGCAGCGCTTAGTCATGAGACCAATGCTCCCTCTAAGCTGTGGAGTCTTGTGAGCAGAAATCCTACTTGGTGAGCTACCGGCATTAAAGTTGTGAGCGAGCGATTTGGCTGCTGCATAAATCAGTTTGCTCTGGAGCCCTCCTTTCTGAGCTGAGACAAAAATGTGTGAGCCAGAGGCTAAAAAACGGTGAGTTAGCCCACACTAACTCAGCTTAGAGGGAACACGGGTCGTGTCCAATGCTTCCTCTAAGCTGTGGAGTCTTGTGAGCAGAAATCCTACTTTGTGAGCTACCGGCATTAAAGCTGTGAGCCAGCGATTGGGCTGCTGCATAAATCAGTTTGCTCTGGAGCCCCATCCTTCCTGGGCTGAGACAAAAATGTGTGAGCCAGAGGCTAGAAAACTGTGAGCTAGCCCACACTAACTCAGCCTAGAGGGAACACTGCATGGGACTAGCACCATTCAAGATAGCAAGCGACAAAGCCACACAAGGGGTCCGAGTCATGGCTGGGAGGCTCTGAAAACCCAGGGGAACCACCAGCCTGGTGGAGAAATCTGACTTTGGTTCAAAATACCCTTTTGGGAAACTCGTGAATTCCGCAGTTTGGGCAGAAGTTTGGGTATCTCCATAGCAATGTCCAACTAGTAGCTGCCGGGCCGGAATGGTCAGCAGGAGCAAAGCCTAAGTTGGGGTGGGGGGGGTGGAGTATCCCTCTTTTGTCTTTTGTAGGATTTATTAGTTATATATTTCCCCACGAGCACTTCGGTCTGGGACACAACATCTCCTGGCAATCCCAGGTCCCAGAGAGGCCAGGCTGGCCGCTACCAGGGCAAGGGCTTTTTCGGTGGCGGCTCCTAACTGGTGGAATGAGCTACCGGTGGAGGTA